TTTTCTCCGTCTCGGCGGCGCCCGAGCCACCCTTCTTGAAGATGTCCCCGCGAATACCCTGACTGCTGGAAAGACACAGACCCTTAGCCACGCAGAGGGCTGGTCTGGGGCCTTGTTGGACACTTGACCTGGGAAAAAGGGGGCTGCTGTTTCTTGCTACCCCCAGCTCCATTCATTATATAAATCCAGAGAGTGCGTGAAAAAATCTTTCTTCTAACTTCTCTTCCAGGGTTTTCTCTCTCACCCCCCCCCCCCCCCGACAATCTGCTTCTCCCAATCTCACATTGCCCAAAACCATCTTTCAGCATTTTGGGTTCCTAAGCAACTCATAAGCTTACAAGTGTAGCGGTGTTAAGTTGTTAAGTAGCGTGGAGCAAAGAATTGGGAGAAAATAGACTCTGAATCTTACTCCTCAAGTTGCTGGGAACGCACATGGAATCATTCACGTTCTAGTCAAAGGTGTTTAAAGTACTGACCTCTTGACAAAAAAAAATAGTTCATTCTGGACCGAAACACAATCATCTTGATGTTAAACCGGAGTCTTAGTTTTTCATATTTGCCACATTTAGAAGTAAAATATTTTATGCTAATGATATATGAGTGTGATTTTTTTGTTTAACAGTGAGAAATAAAAATTCCTCTCTGGCAAACCTCTAACCACATCTATGCCTATAGATCCACACTCATTTTTTTAAAATGTTTTAATTTTTTGACTGACACATCTTATTTGTACATATTTATGTGATATAATACGATGCTTTGATACTTGTTTGCTTTGGGTTGTGATCAACTCTGGGTAACTAGCACACCCATCACTTTCAACTGTTCTTTATGGTGGGTACATTCAAATTCTTCTAACATTTTAAGATATGTAATGTTTATTGTTAATAATATTCACCCTGCTGTGCCACAGAACACCAGGCTTTTGAAAGGCAAAGACTGCTGTACAACTTTATTTGAACATGTTTCATCCATGACAATGAAGTTAGGCTCTTTTGCGTGAACATAGTAGCTCAGGTTATCTCTAGTGTTTTTTTTTTTTTTTTTTTTGAGTCACAGGAATTGGTAGGAAATATATACTTAAAAGAAGAACAAGATATTGACACATGATAAAGGAAATTAATACCATTCTTATGTATATCCAAAAAGTGCAATGGTGGGTTTGATTCACATTTGAACTATTCTAGCACCCAGCCTTAGCTTCAATGAAAATTATTTATCATGTTACTGAGATCATAATTATTCCTCAAACTTTCAAATCTCATGACAATAAAAAATCTGAACTAAAAACCAATAAGCACTCTAACATCAGTTTTATTTGAGGTTAGTTTTATTTTGGCACAGTGTGAGAGGAATATGAGAGTTCTCACAAGGTAATGTTTTAATATAAGAAAAGTTTCATGGTCTACATAAAATTCATTTTCAAAGATATCAGTATCTCATTTCTTTTTGGTCATGGTAAATGTTTTCATTTGAGGTAAGCAGCATATTGTTCTCATTACCCTTGAAATATGCCACATACTTCGGGAATTCATTTTGCTGAGATTCCTGGGGTACCCTAAAAGCCAAGGACTGAAATTTCTACTAGACTCTGAAATCATCAACCATTTAATTAGAGAAGTAGGACCCTAGTTGGAAACTAACTCTATTCACAGCAAAAGAAATGTTCATTATGCTGTGCCTTTAGAGTGGACATTTTGTGTTTCTGTCAGTCAACTTAATTTCCATGTTCATAGAGTGAGAACATAAAGTATTCAGAAAAGACTGTCAGAGAAAGCATTCGGCAAGCAATCTCAGTCAAATATTTCAATTCTGAAGCTCTAAATAAATGCCACCTCCCTGATTCATAAGACTAGCTGGTGGTTTGGGTTTTTTAAATTCCAGGTGCACTTTTAATTACAAATAACTTTAGTGATTCAGAGTCATTTTATAGAACCAGAAAACTTATGTTCTATGACATGTTTTAAACCAAAGGGCAAATTAGCATACATATTTCAAATGTGGTTTTGTCACACTGATTTTTGAAAATATTGAAAAGTTTTTCTTCAAACAAAATGCAGACAGAAGCTGTGAGAGTTCACTTTGAAATGTCAAACAACATAATGAGCTGGAAAAATATATTTCATAAATACTAGTCTATATTAAATTATAATTTTGCAATAACCAGATCCCATTAAAAAAATCAAAAATATATTCTAGTCAGTATTTAATTCCTAACTGTAGTAGTACATCTTTTAAGAACATTTTTTAAGATCTGGGCTGCAACCTAAATTTTCGAGACATGCCCAATAATAACATATCATTTGGAAGATAATAGTGTAATTTAATTCCAACACTGAATTTTATTTATCTAAAACAAATATATTGCTATTAAGTATTGACTTTTATTAACTCAGAGCATCTGGGAAAACACTTATGATTAGGTTAATTTATGTTATATTTTCTCCTCAACTTGTAAAAGATTAATCAACCATTTTATGGTCTAATTTAGGTGCCTAATTAAAAACAGAGTTCAACACATGCTACACTGTCTTACTAATAAATCTTGACAGCTTTGAAACATGATGGTTTGTACATCAAATTGTTGCATATAAATGTAAATTTCTGGTCTTCACCCAGCAGCTTGGAAGTGAGCTCCATACTTGGTGTAAACTCTAGAGATGAGAGTGCAATTATTTCAAAATGAATTATCCTCAATTAGATCTTATCTTACATTTCCCTCAGCAAAGACAGAAACAGTCTTGGCCATAGGGTTTTAGGGAAAAACTTAGGGAAATGGGGGGGAAATTAGTTTTCACAGCCATTGCTAAATTAAAAATGCAGGGGAAACTGCTTTGTTTAGCTATTGGCTTTCAAGAGAGCATATTCTGCAGTTACTGGGTTTTAGATCTCATTTGGAAGAAATCTGCTTACATTGTTAACTATAATTGTCTCTGGTGAATAAGTACAAGTTAGTTACTCACACTGATTTGAGGACACTCTGTTTTTTAAATGAATAAAATTATTTCAAGGAGTTTTAAAAGTCATTTAACCCTATGGCCTACACATCCCAGCCTTGAACAGGGCCAATGGCAGAGACTAAACCTTCTCCTTAGGACGGACACACTATATGTTTTCTCATACTTGAGGGATATTTTTGTCATTTTAATGGCTCCTTAGATTCTAGCTGTCCTGCACAGAGAAGTAAAAGCCACCATGGTCTTCAATCTAGTTATATACCAGCTTGGGATGTTAGTAAGACTGAACTTCCTTTAAAGTGAGCCATCCACGCTGAGATTCATGGAGACAGGCAGGAAAACTTTCAAACTCTCTTAAAACAACCTACTTTGAACTCATCGCAGATGACCAACATCTTGTTTTGGTCACTTAAGGAAAGAGAGCTCAGCACAGAATGATCTCTGGAGCAGGGCTGCCCGGTTTGATGTATTAGCTTAAACACTTTCCAGCTGTGAAAGGCTGGACAAGTTGCTTAACCTCTCTGTGCCCAAGTTTCCTCATCTGTAAAAGCACCTACACCACAAGACTGTAATGAGGATTAAATTTGCTGCTAATCCTGTAAAACTTGAAACAGTGCATGGCACACTGGGGAAACAACAAGTGTTAGCTACCGGTATCAAACCCTACACACACACACACACACACACACACACACACACACACACACATTTTCAAATGTTGGCTACAGCATTAAAGTATCAGCTTATTTTGTACAACTAAAAATGGAAAGGGGAGTCAAGATGGGAAAGAGGTTTCTACCACTACTGCTTTGAAAGCATTATTTGTAATAAATACAAATCATACAATATTGGACCAACTTACTCCCTTAAGTGAGATCATTAATATTCATAAAGGTCTACCAAAATTTAAGGCAAATAAAAAAGAGAAACTAAAAACTGCGTATTTAATGTTTGACCATCTGAGGATTAAATTGATATGCCAAGTTTAAATGTCCAGAGTGGATGTCTTCTCCACCTTTGCATTCCTTAAATTCTCCTGAGCTACAGGCCTTTATTTCTCAGAGTCCATCACGCCCAGGAACCAAGAGGTAAAGGTTTCACCAAAGAGCCCCATAAGCCACTCTGTGGGTCCTCGTCAGCACTTGTTAGGTTTGGGAGGCTGACTGGAGAGAGCTGGATAATGAACTGGAAAAGTAAACCCAGAAGAATCTTAATCAGACAAAAGCAAACTCATGTTCCAGAGCAGACGGGCAGCAGGACTCACTCTCCTGGCTGATGGGCTTCAGCCCTGCCCTGCCATCTCCAATGGCTCCATCCTACCAGGACCTTTCCTCACCTAGCTGAAGGTGTCTCACTGGGATGAGTGGAAGGAATCAGTCAAATTCCAAGGAGTCTTGCAAATCATCCAGGCCCTGGACCACTGCTTAGGCCCCTGGCAGGGCTGAGACAACTCATTAAACCTATTAAGGACTTGCTCAGACACAGCCAGACTTCCTGCTCCAACAGATTACCTGGTGACCAGGGGACTCAATCAACCATATCCATAGGTGTTTCTTTCTTTCTTTCCTTCTTAAATGCCATTAGAATGTCTCCTCTTTTAATGTTCTGCTCTTGAAAACTTGTTTTAACCATGATTCTGATTTGCACCCCCTATTAATTATTATGTATACTCTTCTTTAATTGGATGCCTGACCTTATCTCAACGCAGAAGATGCCACAGAGCTCAGCTCTGAAGCATGGATTTTTCGATCAGATAGAATTCCAGCTTGGGCTAAGGATGTACCCTGGACACCACCAGATTTTAGGCAAATTTGTCTGGGTCGAACGTTTCCACGGGGTGTTCAATTTAAAGTTAAAACGGCCACCTTCAAAATAATTGTGCAATTTACACATTTCACTCAGATACCTGGAATATCGTAAATTAAAGTTTCAATTAGGCAGATAGCATTGAAAATTCTTTCTATCTTAAAAATATTCACTGACACTGCGATCTTGCCAAGCAGTGCCAGCGAAGTCCGGGAACGCACTGTTTGGGGCACTTACCAAATTAGCAATTGATTCCTCCCGGGTCACCGCTGCGGGCTTTGCCCCTCTGGCTCCCTACAGTGCTGCCTGTGGGTTTAGAGGACTGACTCCGAAGGCTGAAGAGAGTCCCTCCTCGTGAACCCTGACCAAGCCCACTCGGACAGTCCAGCCGCCCGGCGCTGCGGCTGGCCCGGAGCCGATCCGACCCGAAGCTTCCTAACTGAGCTCCCCGCCGCAGGCGCAGCGCGAAGTTTGCACCGCGGCCTCGTTCCGCGTCCTAGAGTCAACCGAAAGGATCAGGGCAGGTGGAGGGCCATCACCTAAGAGACTGTGTGAATCTTCCTGTGGGGATTTCCAAAACCCGCCCCAGGTGCGCCTAAAACCGCTTGATATGAAGGGTTCAGTTATTTTCCTGCCAGCTCCTCCCAACCGGCCCCAAGCCTGTCTGATCTCACAAAACCCCGAGCCGCCTGGGGCTCTGTCGGGTTCCGCCGGGAAGGGCTCTAGTTGTGGCCTGCCATTAGGGCCCCAGGGTCCTCAACCCAGGAGGAGGGAAGGTAGGGTAGAAGTATCGATAGATACAATCAATGACCACAGATGACAATTAGGGAGACCCCCCGCATCCCAGCCAGGCACCTGACTGCACCGTGCGTTCACCCTTCTCAGTCTTGCTAGAAGCAGCTCATTTCCCCCAATCCCCGAAGATGAGAGCTCTGAGGCTCAGCTCTGAACCCGGACGTGAATCCAGGCGTTGGATTCCACGGCCCGCGAGTTTTTAATCAGCGGCGTCCTGGGAATGGTGAGGAGAGTGGTTTTCACGGCCGGATAAGGCTCCTCAAGATTTGGGCAACTCCGGACAATAATAAAAAGACAGTGCACAGGGAGGGCGAGGCTGGGATGAGAGCGCTTTTAATCTGTCAGGTCAGTCCCTTTTGTATTTTGATTCTCCATCCCATCCGAATTCAGAAAGTTGAGTGGAGATGGGGCCGGGCTCAGTTTGCTTCTCTGCTCTTGTTTTGAGAATTCTCCAGACTCTCTGCAGCTAACTGGGCCTGGAAAAGTGACCGGGGATTTGCGCTGGAGGGGGCTGAAGGTAGTGACCACAAAGGTGAAATGGGGCCAGCGGCTAGGGTCTCGGCAGGCGACCGGGTTTCTAGAGGCAAGAATCTGACACACAACACACACACACACACACACACACACACACACACACACGCCTAACTGCTCACCCCCAAAGACCAGTAGGCCCCAAGGAAGCAGTGGGCAGAGGTCGTGATGGTAATCCCAGTCCCACTGTCCCTTTGGAAGAGAACTCATAACCCGACTTGAGAACAGAATTTCCGAAGCCACGGCCTTGAAGCGGTTCTTATTTCTCAATCAAAAGGCTCATAATATTCTCTGCACCTCGATGCATACGGGCGGGGTGCGGTGGTGCTGAGTTCTTCTCCCAGCACCTAGGCCTGGGAGGCGGAAATGAGCCGGCCTAGCCAGGGGGTGCCAGGAAGCCTTCAAAGCCGCGCGCCGCTGCATCTGACTGCTGCAGTGCGCGCCTTTGCCCGACAGGGACCAGCACCGCTCCACGCTCCGCAACCAGCACAAGCTCCGAGTCCACCCTCCCCAGCTCGCCCTCTCGAACCTGAACGGCTCTTGAGGGAGGCGATCTGAACCCCTTCAGGTTCCAGTGACCCTGGCTGCAACAACAACAACAAAAAAGTTTACAGATTCAGCAGCTTTGGCAGAACGCCGTTGCCCCCACATACATCTGGGGAGTAGAAGCTGTTCTATAAATCCGTCTAGGGAGGAGACTGTGACCTGAGAGGCACAGAACACTCCTCCCAGCGTCCCGGGTTCCAACAGGAGAAATAAAATATGAACAACCCTGGAATGATTCGCACGAGGCATCGCCATGATTAGAGGGCAGTGCGTTTTCCCGGGAGCTGTCTCACCCACTGCCCCGCTTCTTCCAGGCGAGGCCGCCCGATTCATCCGAGCGCACCATGCACCACTGAGCCGCTAGAGCTCCGCGAGAAGTTTGTCTAGGGTGCAGCCAGAGCCTAGCTGGGAGCACCCGAAACCGCGCGGGCGGGATTCCAGGCGCTGCCAGCGCTCCCGCGCAGTCGTTCCTCCGTCCCTCCGCCCTTGGTGGTCCGAAACTATACCTCTGACGCTTCTCCTACACACGCCAAACCTCCCTTCGCACAAGGTCTGGATCGCGGTCAGAGGCCCTGGCCCAGTCGAGGAGACTCACCGGTACCAGGCGAGGCCCTTGTCGTAGCTTCGGTCGAAGAAGTGAGGCTCTGCGCCCACGGCGCGCACGTCGGGGTGCACGCGCAGGAACTCCAGCAGCGCCCGCGTGCCGCCCTTCTTCACTCCAATGATGATGGCCTGCGGCAGCTGCTTACTCCCAGACCCACTAAAGAAGCTGGAGATGGGGCTAGGGGAGTCCGGCGCCTCTGGACTCTGCCCCTCCTGGCTCGAAGCGCCTTCTGCTATCTCCTTGCCCGAAGCCAGTGCCGTGGCTGGCATCGCCCGGAAAGGCAGCCTGTGGGGCGTCCCATTCGGAAGTGTGGCCAGGGCTGGCGGGGCGTGTGCGGTGCGAGACCCGGAGCCCAGCATTAGGAGTCCGGGCGCCGCTGCGCAGGAGCCGGCGCACGAGTACAGGAACATATAGAGCCAGACGCAGAGCATGGCGAAGAGCAGCGCGAGCTTCCTCCTCACCGGCGGCGGGGTCGTCGGCGGCTGCAGCAAGAGCCGACCCGAGACATCGAGGCAGGGCCGGGCGGGGCGTGTGCGGTGCGAGACCCGGAGCCCAGCATTAGGAGTCCGGGCGCCGCTGCGCAGGAGCCGGCGCACGAGTACAGGAACATATAGAGCCAGACGCAGAGCATGGCGAAGAGCAGCGCGAGCTTCCTCCTCACCGGCGGCGGGGTCGTCGGCGGCTGCAGCAAGAGCCGACCCGAGACATCGAGGCAGGGCCGGGGGCCGGCCACCAGGTGGCGGCGGCAGCTGGAGCGACGGCGGCTCTTGACATGTTGCCCAGGAGAAGCCGCAACTGGAACGGAAAGTCGGGCAGACGGTAACTACTGGCAGAGGGACTGCTCCGGAGAAGCCAAGAGAAATCAGCACTCCTGCTCTCTGGCCACACTAGATGGTGCGCACAGCCGATCGCCGGGGCTCGCACCTCGCAGTCCGGACAATTGAGCCTAGAGAGCAGCCCCGGCTCTTCCCTGCAGAGGCCGCAGGGGAGAACTGCGCAGGAAGAGCGCGGAGGACCGAGGTGGAGGGGGCGGGCCCGGCTTCCCGGAGCGACGCGCCGCTCTACCTACCAGAAGCCCGGAGTGCCATGCAAATGTAGGCTCTTCGCTGAGGGCGAAACAGCCAATCTTGTCTCGGAACGTGGGGGTGTGGAAAGGGCTCGGGGCGGTGGAAAGCATTCGGGAGTTGTCATTGGCTGCAAGACATAAGGGGCGGTTCCAGAGAGGCGGAGCCAAGGGCCTGGGGACTGGAGCAGAAGGTGGGAAGGATGTGGGAGAGACAGTAAACTGGGAGAGGTCCAACCCCAGGAGCATTGCGCTCCTGCACCCGCTAGCATTTCCGCACTCGCTCCCCCGGAGCCAGCCTTGGTGGTAGTTGCCCAGATGCTGGAACGCGAGTTCCCATCCAGATGTTTCGCAGGCGGGCTCGAGGTGTTACAGAGTAGCAAGGAAGTAGGCGGGAGCGTGCCTGGAGATGTACCCAGATCCCGAACCCGCCCGCCCCACGCCAGACTCAGAGGGGGGTCCTCCTGGCACAGAAGCTTATTTAGGAAGTTTAAGGAAAAAGCCTGTTTTGAAGTCGCTGTCAACTCCCCACTCTCACCCTCGTTTTCCCTCATCCTTTGCTAGGGGCGATCTTCCTCGTCCCGCTGATTCTGATGGCAGAAACTGACCTCAAGAAAAATTTCCAACGTCCCAACTCCCGAGAAAACGTTGGAGAGGAGTCAGGAGAAAGGGAGCTAGTACAGGAAAAGGACGGTTTGATTTTTATTTTTTTCAAGTTTTCTGGTCGAAATTTGAGTGCGAGTCCCCTGTAGGAAGTTTTATCCGAATATGAGTTTGTTGGAGACCTTAGATATGAGACAATGTTCTATCTCCCCGTTTTCCTGAAGAAAAAAAAAAAAAGTTAAAGCCAATATCCATTCCCACTTACAAGACAGTTTGGTTTGATGACCACTGACACTATTTGTGTCGTTTTTCGCCACCAGTTTTTAAAAGTTAAAAGTCAATTTGAAGCAGATCCTTGAAGGTTAAATTAGTTGCATTTGTTTAGTAGTCGAAGTCAAAGTCCACTCAATGCCGCCCTCCCGCGTTGTTTTCTGCATCAGGGTCAGCCAGGGCGGGGGCAGAGAAACGGGCCTTCTAAATGACTGTAACCGCTCGCCGGCTGCGATCGAGGCCGAGCTGCACGCTCCCCTTACGCTACTACATTCTTGACCATCCAGGCATTTAGAATTAGGAAGCTCAGGATCTCAGTTATCGTTTATCCCGGTCGAGTTTAGGAAGTTTTTGACGACTGCAACCCACTCTCTGAGGGGCCGGCGACCCTCCACTGCCGGGCCGCGCGCGGTTCCGGGACAGAATGTTCCTTTCGACTCCGACCCTAGAGCGGCCCAGGTGGCTGAATGTCGCCCATGAGGTGACTCACTGGGAGCCGCCGCCCTCGCCGGATTCACTGTCCCCGCACGCGCGCACAGTGGAACCGAGAAGCGCTCCGATCCCTCTAAGGCGCAGGCGGCCTTTGCAGAGTGAATGTCCTCGAGGGTCCCAAATGCCTGTCGTTTCGGCCTGGCTTCGGCTTCGGCCTGGCTTCGGCTCCCTGCCCTCGGGACCAGGATGAGAAAAAGTCGACTTTAGCACCTTGGATTCAGAAAGGTGCCCTTGTAACCGCTTCGACGAGCGAGGATTCAGATAACACAGTGGTCACCACGAGACCCACGCACCCCTATTGTACACCAGACGATCTCCTCGTAACTACCTCGAGCTCAAGACATTTCTCTGCAGAATTGTTGAGGTAAAAATCGGTTATTTAGGTAGAGGACAGGATTTTTTCCCTCTTTAATATTCTCATTGAGGACGTCTTTCTCTCTCTCTCTCTCTCTCTCTCTCTCTCTCTCTCTCTCATGCTGTTGTTTTTTCTTCCAAAGTGATCTAATCACCCTTAATTTTTACTGCATTAATTTATTAATTCATGTTAAACTTCAATGTATTTAATTAAATTATTATGAATTAGTGTTAAACTCCTAAAAACTGAAAGCATAAATATGTCTAAGCACCAGCCCAACTTTTTGTTCTGAAATGTGATGCGGACTATATTTGTGTCCCCGTGTCCTAAATGATTCACAGTATTTAAGTGGGAAGTGAAGTTACTGATTGGTGTGCGGTCTGTGAAAAGTAGCTCCCAAGTGGCTAACTTCAGGCCTGAATGGATTTTAATAAAAACGGTCCCTTTCTCGCGGGTTAGCAAAGTCCATTAAGTGAGCGATTACATATCTAGGCCACCGGATATATTTGGGTTTTTTTTTTCCGTGGGTGGAGGGAGGAAGAAAGGGAGTGGGAGCAAAGACGCGTCGGAAATGGCTCAGGGCGGAGCCGAGCGCCCCAGAGCTCAATTGATTCCTGGGACTACCCTGCTCCATTGAATCCCCACCGCCCCAACAATGGGACCAGTCTGCGCTGTGCGCCACGCCGCCGCCGGGTCCTTGCAGTCCGCGGGTCTGGGCAGCGGTGCCAAATCAGGACCAAGACGGTGAGGTGATGCTTTGTCAAATTTGTCCACTCAGCTGACCCACCCACTGTGCTCGGAAGTCCCCGGCTGCGTCCAGAAAGCCCCACATGCCGCGACCCCTCTGAAGCCGCTCTTGGCAAATGCGATCTCACCCAGGGTCCTATACAGCAGATAAAAACCTGAGGCTCAACCTGGTGACAGCTGGTAGCCCAGCTGACTGTGGGCCTCTGCCCTGAACTTCTCCTTAGCAGTGCGAGGTCCCCCTGAGCATCAGCAAAACGCCGTCACCAAAACCGAAAGAAAAGTTCACCCTTGGTAAACAACTTTCTGCACCCGAAAAATACGAAAAGGAGAGAATACAGTTCCGGTACACCCTTCGAATTTATGTTTCACGTCAGTTGTTTACTTAGGATTACCAATGGGGGCCTCCGAGGGTTCCAATCTGGGAGGCCGTTGCTCACCCCACCCACACCCCGGGTCCTTTTAGTAACCAGTTGTGTGTCGCGAGCGGGACACTTTTTGGCCCTAGATTTTCACATCTGTAAGATGACGGACTTGAGCCAAAAGATCCCGGCAGTGCGTTCCACTTGAAGTTTCCTTAGCTCCAGGCTCGAGGTGATTGGCCGAAACAGCTGCTCCAGCCGTCTGCCCAGTCTGCCTCGAGACCAGCCGCTTTCCTGCTCTGTGCCCCACTTCCAGGCAAAGCAGGCATTTCCTGGGGCTGCCTGAACTGGTGGCCCGAAGCCTCAGTTCCTGCCACCGGAACCGTACCCTCCCGCAGTTCCCCAGCCAGCCAGCCGACCCCTCGGGGGTTAGCAGCTGCAAACTGGTGCGGTCCTGTGCACTGTGGGGGAGAGAAGGGCGGTGCGTCCGGCCTTGGGTCGTGCCCACCCCAAAGGGAGCGCCCTGGCTCGCGCCTCACAGCAGGGACAGCAGTCCCGGGAGCTCCTGCAACGCACCAGAAGGGGTCTTTTTCTTTGGCTGAGACTCCTGTCCCTGCCGCAGTCTTTCCGTGTGTCCACTGCCTGGAGGCGGGCATTTGCCCAGCTTCGTGGCTGCTCTTGGTCAAGCACACAAGGACTAGAAATTCTTTAACAGTGGTGGAAAAGTTTCACCGGTAGGAAAGACCCTCTCCAGCGCGATCTCGGTCTGCCCACAGCAGACCCAGTTGGCGCTTCCACTCCATTCTGGGCTACATCTAGCGCAGAGGCACAGTGAACTCTGCCTTCCAGGAGGATACTTGAGCCACTTCGGGAGAGACATGCTTGTGCTTATCTTCAGAAGTTTGATGCCCGGGTGGGCTTGGTGACCTGTGTTATGAGGAGCAATTTTGTGCACCTATTCTAAATCTTTCCTTCTCTAGGAAAGGAAGTTCCCTTAGCTCCTGGAGAATGGAGAGGGAATGGGAAGGTGGGGAGATGCAAGGAGAGCTGTTTATGCCCAGGATATCCTTCTGGCAGGGCCTCAAC